CCGTTTTTTGCTGTATGTCTTGTTTATGTTTTGTTTGAAAAAAAAAAAAAGGGGGAGGCTTGTGGTGTTTAGTTCCTCTAGTCTTCAGAAGCATAAATATGGACCACAGGTTTAAATATATTCTTAAGCAGCTATGTTCTCGGGAAAAAAAAATAGAAATACTGTGCTAGTTCCAAGACGTAGTTTTAAACTACTATTATTGCACATCACCTAAAATTCTGTACTAAAAGCAGCTCATTAATACGCGGCTTATATGAGTGAAACTCCAAATATAATGTACTTTGATGTGAAGGATGCAGAAAATGAAAACACACTGTCTTAGCTTGCTTTTTGCAGTTTGAAGGAACAGCAGTAATTTTTATATAAAATATGTAATAAGGCATCTAAAATAAAAGGATAAGAATTATTTTCTAGACAGTGATACTATTTATTTCTTGAACTTCACTATAAACAACATAACTATTTATAAGAAAATATAAAATTGTTATTTGTATCAAATGACAGTTGAAGATAAATAGCTGGGAAAGGACATTTTGAGACAAGAAGGTTTAGCAGCTAGTTAAGAAATTCATCTCTACTTAATTGGAATCCAAAAAATGACTAATGCTACCCATACCTTGTTTTCATGTGTAATTAGAAATACACGTGAATGTGACAGGTTTTCATGTAACAGGTTGTCATATTTCTTTGAAGCACTGCAAAACTATATGGTATTTCCATAATTTGCCAATTGCAATAGCACTAAATTTGTTATTATTAGTTTGACTTATTAATGGCTATTCCCCCACACCAGGTCACAGTATTGTCTCTGAGAAAATATAGGCTTTGTGGTGGTAAAAATATACCAATAATCACACAGAGCTTCCTACAGTATGGATGGCAAATTAATTTCAGAATTATCCTCTGACATTTAATGCACTTTAAGTCAGCTGAAATATAGATGAAGTAAGAAATATAGATTAATGTATTTACCTTTCTGTTGCACTTCAGGAACAGAAAGTTCTAGTTAGCAAATCAGTCAATCACTTAAAAGCCTTTATAAAATAGTATCTATACCTTGAAGGAGAAAAGTACAGAATATTGACTTGCTTCTGTATGCATACATTTATACATTTAAGTAGAATACAGAAATGCGAAGCTTTCTGGTGTTCCTAATAGCTGAAATGCACTTTAATTGACAGTTTGTGCACCCTTTAAGACTTATGGGAAAAAGTAAAATGAGTAGTTATAAAGGTTTGCGTTCAGTTCTGCCTACTGTGAACAAAAATAACACTTAAGGTTATTATTTGTGTTTTGTCTGCTGTTCCATGACTGCAGTCAAAGACAAATATTTTATTTCATAGGAATTATTGAAACAAATTCTCACATCTGGTTATCAGTATTATCCCGAGTTTCTAATTTAGTTTATGCTGGTTTATGAAAAAAAAAAAGTTCATTTGTCAATTTATTTGTGGTCTTGAATATTTGTACAAGAGATACTGGTATTGAAATTGAATTTGACATAAGCCTCTCATTGCTAAAGCATCTAGACTACTATTTTGTATGATTGGAGCTATGCATAACACTATGGAAGAACATTTTCTTATTTTTGTATTCACAAATACATGTTAAGCTTTCATTCAGTCAACTTATGTGTGCTTTATGTTTACTACTTTTCTACACTATGTATGAACAGATATCTATTCCTTTTTTTTTTCCCCCTCAACATATCTTCCGTAAACTCACCTCTTTCCAAGGCTTAAAATCTGTGCACACAAAAACACTGAGCATATCTGGTTGGGAGACGGTCCTGCAAAGCCTACCTTGTAGTTTGTTCAAAATAGAAAACTGAAGTAGACTAACTTCTTGACTTTACTGAAGTATTAAGGTCAAGATTATTGATCAACTTAACATTTAGCATGGCAAGTTTATAAATATTTACTTCAGCAAGACTAACCTGCTATTCCATTACTATATTGTCCTTAGCAACAAAAGCTTTTTTATGCTGCTTCTTAAAAACTGATTTAAGGCAGGAAACTTAAGAATGACAGAAATGACACTGCTTTTAATTAGTAGCCCCAAACGAATGTAATACGTACAATGTAACAAGTATTTCTAGTAAGTGCAGAGTTTTTAAACATCAGTATTCATGTATCTAATTATATCAATGTATTTCCTATTACTGATTAATTAATATTCCATATCAGTATTTCCACATAGCCAGTAAAAAATTCTGACTCACCTGCAACTGATAATTGGCATATAAGTTTGGACTTAAGCAATATTTCTTTTTAAAAAGACATAAATGATTAATTGGAAAGACAATGTAGGCTGTATTTATTTTTCTCTGCCATGGGTGTTGTTTAATGTTTCAAAGGACTGAAAATTTACATTTTTCATGTGGTGAATAATAATTTTTGAAAGGAAAAGGGACTCTGGGAGGAAGCGGCTATGTTCCAAGAACTGAATGAGTTATAAAATTCCTTAACTAAATAGTACTTATTTTCATCAAAAAGTGATGAATGGTTTGAATACCAGGATAAAAATAAATAAATAAAAAAGGTTCAATTCAGTGCAGTCTCTCCAGCTTGTGTTTCCTTCTGTTTTAAATGCAGCGGGGCAGAGCGTATATTTTTGTAGACAAAAGAGTCATGGTAATATAGGCTGAGAAGAAAATTATCTAGTAAGGAGAAATAAATCGAGTACTCATATACATTATGTTGAATTACTAAATAATATATGATTCTGAAAGCATCCAATGTATTGCAGGGTTATCCTGGTTTAGATGCTAAAATTATCAGCAAAAGGCAATATCAAGTATTTTACAAGTCATGACAATATAGCTTATATTGCACTGCATGAGAACGGAAGAGAGTTTTCCAAAAGTCAGGAGACCTTTCTTCATATCGTTTTCTTTCTTGCTATTACTAAGGTATTAAAGGCCTTGAATATCATAATCTGTTTTGGTATTTTACTCAGAATCACATATTTTGCTGGAGTTGCCAGGGACCCTTGGAGATTGTCTCATCCAGCCTCTGTGCTCGGGGCAGGTCAGCAGGAGCACCTTGCCCAGGACCATGGCCAGTAATATTCAGCGTCTCTGTCTACCACTTCTAGGCTTGTTCAGGAGTTTCTCCTGTTTGTTTCCTTTGCCGTATTTCTTCCCTTTCCCTTAAGGACTCTTACTGATACCTCAACTGCTCAGACTTTTCACTCACAGTGGCTCAAGTTTCTCATTATTTTCTTCTTACCTTTTAAATCTCACAAAAAAATTAAGGCAAATATTGGCACTTCCATTTTTGTGGTTTAAATGTGCTTGTGTTAGGGCTTAAATGTTCCTATCAAACAGTAATGGTGTAATTTTCTAATTATCTGAAACTATCTAGAATATGATCTCTTGGCGGCCTTAATTATATGTTTGAAGCCAAACACATGTATAGTGTAATCCTACAAAAATGGAGAAGACCACACCAACAGTTAACCTTGCTGTGATTTCAGCTGGGAAATAAGCAGAAGCAAGTGACGCCAAAACAGAAATATATTCATGCCAATGAAGCTACAAAAGAACATCCAAGAAGAATATTCGTTTTTCAAGCAATAGACCTTCAAATACAAAATTATTTGTTTGCTATCAGTATGTCTTAAAATGGAGTTTTTATAGACACTACATACATACAAAGTTGAATTTTTCATATACAGGATACATAATCTGCATGGAACCAGCTGAGTATCAAGGATTGATACTCATTGATTGAAAGGCTGGTGAAATCTGTCCAGGAAAGCTGAATCAGCCTATACCCACACCTTAGGGACAGCCAAAGAGCTCTCACGTGAAAATGCTGCAGGCCAAGGCCAGATGTGGTCCAGTGACCTTCACATAAAGAAGGTTCACAGTTCATCATGACTTCTATAGTTAGGTAACATTATATCTGAAAAAAAATCTGCAACTCAAAAGAGTAGCAAAATACTTTCTCCTCAAGAAACCACCTGCAAAGCTGGGTGACCATTAAATGGTCTAGATGAATCGGTCCAGGAAATTCTAGGTAAAATTAGAAAGGACCAATCTATTATGACAAGAATATATTGGCACTAGGAGAGAAAGGAGGGAAAATGCGCT